GGTGTTGATTTTGTATTCTGCAACTTTGCTAAATTCATTAGTTTGCCTTAAATTTAGCACTCTGAAAATACCAAATTTTTCATGGAGAATTTTATTTCATTAACCTTGGGAAACATCATTTGGTAATATAATATGGTAGGTGGTATCCTCAGCTATGACACTGGAGAAAATAAGGAAACATTTTGTGGTCATTTAAAAATGTATCCTTTCATTTATCAGACATGAATTGAATGCTCACATGTCCTAGGAACCATGCATGCTTGGATCTGATTATATATTGGTCGATTAAACATACTTTCTCTCTGCCCTTTTGAAAGTAGATTCTAGTGAGAAAAATAAACTAGTAACCAAACTAATAAAAACAATGAAGAACACGGTTTAAGAATCAGATCGGGGATTGACAGTGGAGTCTCTGTGTGTGGGTGACATGAAAGCAAAGAGCTGGCTGGACATGATGGTGTACACCTGTAATTAGAGCTACTTGGGAGGCTGAGGCAGGAGAGTTGCAAATTGCAATTTTGAAGCCAGCCTGGACAACTGAGACCTGGTCTCAAAAAAAAAAAAAAAAAAAAAAAAAAAAAAAAAAAAAAAAAAAAAAAAAGGAAGAAACTAAAAATTGCTAGGGATGCAGCTTAGTACTCCTTGGGTTCAATCCAACGAGGGGGGAAAAAAACAGAAAAGGAGAGGGAAAAAGCTGAGATGTGAGAGAAAGAGGCTGTCACGCGAGGCTAGATTGGCAGGGACGATAGGGCACCGTCAGTGAAAGAGGTCCCTGTTCGTGCAGTCCTGAAATGGAAAGGTGAGAAAGAGATTCAAGAAGCGAAGAGGGTGGGAGTGTAGCTCAGCCGAGCTAGCGCAGGGCCTGTGCTTGGCCCGCTAGAGGTCCTCAGTACCCTGCCCGACAGCAAAATAAAACAAGAAGTGATGCCTTAGGGGTGCAGATAAGGAGGGAAAAGGCCGGAGGTGAAGGTGGGAGAGGCAGGTAGAGGCCAGGCTGCGCCTTTGAACGGCCTGAGGGATGACACGGATTCGAAGTTTAGCGGAGGGGAATCCCAGGCTTATCGAAGCCCATGTGCTGTGCTGCGTGCTCTCATCAGAGAGGTGGGTTAAGGGAGCTCTCTGACGCTGTGCTGGGCTCCAGCAACTCTGCTCGGACAAATGCGGGGAGCAGCGTTCTCAGCTGAGCTCTCGGGCTTGTGCCTGAACCTTAGGTGCTCTGTGATTGGAGGGAGGAGCTGCCATAGGGTAAAAACGAAAGATCCGGCTTGTGTTTCTTTTGCTATTAGAAAACTGTCTCGCGTCCCTCCTACCATGTGTGCTCTCAGGTCAGAAAACACTGTAGAAAATCTTAGCATAACTGAACAGATCGTCAGTAAGATGAACTACAGCAATTTTTATTGGATCTGAGACATATCCTCCAATGAAATGTATGGAGATAGCCTGTTTCATGATTTGTTGAAAAGAAATTTAGAAGAGAGTTTTAGAGCACAGCTAACAAATGAATCTGCCTATCATTTGGGGGAAAGATGCTTTTGCTCTCTTATACCTTCTTCTATACCTGGTTATCTATTGTTTCAGGTGGCCCTTAAGTAGTCAGGTTAAAATGAAGGGAAACATTTTATTTCCTGCCCTTGTAAAAAATTTCCCCATGAGTTAATGGAAATAAACACTTTCCACAGTGCTGTGTAGAATATGGAGATTGCAAAGGTCATTTATAATGGGTTATTTGTTGGGCACCAAGAAATAGAAGAAAGAAATAGTGATACTACATGTCACCCACACTCCACCTTGCGGTGACCAATAGTTAGGGCCTGAGTAGCCTGGTCTCTCCCTGGGGACCGAAAGGGGAGGAGGTACTGAAGTGTTAGCCATCACTTCTGGTGCTGGCTGTACTGTACTTGTCTTTGGCAGCTCGTTGAGCAGGTGAGCCTAAGGGTGAGCAGAGCTTAGTGAACCAAGGAAGCCAAGAGGACACGTGGTGTGGCTCTCACACCTGGGCGAGGCCATCTCCTTGCAGGTCCACTCCTGAAGTAAGGGCTACTTCCTCCCTGTTATGGCTCATGTCTAGATGTCCTCCCAAAGCCTTACTCGGTCAAAGGGAGAGCTTTTCAGAGGTGGCTGATCTAGAGTATGGTGCTGCGATCAGGAGTGTAATTACTAAAGAAGTCCACTGATTGGTTTGGCATAGTTTGGACTAGGATTAAGGGTGTGAGTGCCACACTGCCCTACAGCAGGCAGCCTGCATTAAATATAAGGGTCAGAAAGAGGACTAATGTGCTCTCACCTGCCTGCCTGCCATGGACTGTTTCCCCTCTGTGATGCCCTCTGCTGGGCCTCCCTGCCCTGGAGCCAGCTGACTATGGACTGAAACCTCTACAACTGTGAGTCAAATAAGCCTTTCCTCCTTTAACTTTGGGTGTCAGATATTTTGTCTCAGTAATGAGAAAAGTAACTAAGAGACTCCCACTCTTTCCAAGGCTACCACCAAGGACACAGAGCTTTCTTCTTAACAACTCGTTTACTACAAAGTTGTGCTCCCACAGGCGAAGATGTCATGGAAGAGGAGGTGGTGACCAAGTGTTTGCTCAGTTGTTTTATCTTGCTTAGTAAAAGCAACCACCAAATGCTTTCTGGGCCAGGTCATCGTGACCAGCTCAAGATTTATGCTCTTGTTTTCTTTTCCTTATTGTTCAAGATAAGATTATCACAAGTAAAACTTTAAGGAACTTGTTGCATTTTTTAAAAGTTGATGCACACATAATTGTACATCTGGAATAACATTTCAGTATTTGTGTACCATATGTGATGATCAGATGAGAGTAACTGGCATATCCATACTGCAGCCATTTATAATTTCTTTGCATTTGGAAAGTCCTAGATCCTCTCCACTAGCTATTTTGAAATAATCAGTATGGTAGATAACCATCGTTACCCGACTACACAGAGAACAGAAGTTATTGCTTCTATACAATCGCACTCCTAGGCCTACTGTCCATCCTCTCTCCAACCTTCCTCACTCCTGCCCTTGCTGGACTCTGGGAATCACTATTTTCCCCTCTACTATAAACACCTCATGAATAACTTCAAAGGGCAGCAGCACCTGCAGGTGCACATGGGGCCCCTGGAAAATATTGAGGCACGACATTAAAGAATAGTTCTGAAGCAGTGTTTTTTTGTTTGTTTGTTTGCTTTTATTCTGGAGTACATTAGCTCTTCCAGAAGTTTAAAAATTTCAGTTCGATGATAATCTCCCCGCCAAGGGGATGTCTACCTTTTATTCCCAACGCATCCATGTACCCAGAAGCAATCCATCCAATGCAAGAGTTAGCACAAAGAAGAAGCTTTCTCAAGGGAGCCAGAGCACACGAAGGTGGGGTCCTCCAGACGTGCACCTCTGAGTCTCCCACTTCACTCCTGTATAACAGGAACTCCTTTACTACGCCAGTGGTTTTTACAGGACGAGAATGGAGATCCCACTGCAAGAGATTTTCAAGGAGTGCTACAGAAAAAAATGTCTTAGATTGTTAGAAAAGCAAACTTCTTTGCACAGTTCACTTCAGGTAGGCTCTGCTGGAGGTACTTGCTGCACGGGAACTTTCCAGAGCTCAGATTGATCACAGTCCTGAGCATGTTCTACTGCTGGCTGTTCTCCCCAGGTTCTGACATCCTCTGGACTTCCTCTTGACCTAACACAGAGGTCTGCTTTCAGCCTTTTCAAAGCAACATGACAGTTTCTTTTCAGAAGGATTTTTAAAAACAAGGGCCTTTTCCCCCTTTGGGGGACTACCTCAGGGAATCCATCCCCTTTTTGCAATCAGTCTGAAGCCCCAAACAGCAGGTCATCAATCTCTGCAGTGAGGGCAGGATTAGGCTGCTGCAGAACAGGAAGGTAAGAGTGGAGGAAGGAATGAAAAAGGTCTGAGGTTTTGTGTAAGATTTAATAAAAAACAAACAAAAATAGGAGTGGTTGCTGTTCACATTTTTCAGGTTGTGAAAGTTAGCAGGGATTATCTGGAGTGTGGTTCTAAGCTGCATTAGTGGAGAAAATCCAAAATGCTGTCCTCTTCCCAGGCCAAAAAGCAGTGTGCACAGGCTGCGTGCCCATCTGGGTCACTAGCCCCTCCAGCAACCAGGCAGGCGAATCACCTGCACCATGGTACAGTCGAACCAGGACATCAAGGTGACTCTTCTCTGACCAACAGGGATTGTACCCACCTGGTGGTGCGTGGCTGTGAACAGCAGAGCCGGAATGTAGGCCAGACCTCCACACTGCACTCTTGATGACAATCTTTTAAAAATTAATGAAAGTGTTTTCTGGAGTCAGCAGAATGGACCTATTGTGTTTGTGTTTTGGATCTCCTTGGGACATAGCAGCACTGTTTGGTTCATTGCCAGGTAATAGGACATAAACAGAGGCAGACTTAGTATAATCTGTTCCAATAATCTGCAGCCAAGTCATGTTAACTGTGTATGGTGCAGTCAGAGATTCATCATAATTTGATGAATAGAAGAAAAGCAATGGCTAAATTGGTTTATTGTAGGGCAAGTGGTAGACAAGCTACACAGAACTCAAAAGACCTGTCTCACAAGATTCATTTGGTCAGTGGCAATTTAATTTAAACAAAATAGCATTTTAATCATTGAATTAGATTATTTTGCTTTAATTTTATTGTTTTGCAGTTTTATATAATCAATATATAAATTACTCTTGTGGTTGCATAAGAGTTACAAATGGAAGGCTATATTTAGTTTTAAAATCACACATTGTAATATTACAATAAAAATAATTTGTCAGCACTGGGAGATATCAAAAATTTTTTGTCCAGACCCTGGAGTATAGCAACATGAGGAAGAAAAGGAGTGAAGTGGGTCCTTGGGATCCAGCAAGGATCTGAAGTGAGAATTGAAGCCTAAGGGAGAGCAAGGAGAGAGACTTCAGTGAAGAAAAAGGAGGTGGCAAGCGGTGCTTTCTCCCTAATCCCTGACTTACTGAGTGATGCATGGTGAGTACTGGCCACCCCAGAGGCTTCAACGGAGAATGCACCAGTGGAACAGAGCAGTGGAAGCAGCAGACTGCAGTGACCGATGAATTACTAGGGTTCAAACACCCCCCAGGAGAGGGCGATTGGCTAGTAGCCATCTTGGAGAGGGCCCAGGTGAGCTTGGAACCCAGAGCAGCTGTGCTTAGCTCCACCAGAGTGAGAGGGAATTGAGTTCAAGTTGGCAGAGGGTCAAGGGGCCCAGTTCAAGCCAGCAGGGAGCCGAGCTCAAGTCGGCAGGAGGCATACAAAGTATTGCAGGTTGAACAAGTTGGGTTCCAGCCTGAGCTTCGGAACTAAAGGTGTAGGCTTGCTGGGATTATCCACTACCTTGGTGTAAATTTACAGTGGGCTTACTGGGATTGATCAATGTGGAGCTGGGCTTTGTGTACCCAATCTGTCTACCAGCGACAGCAGAGATACACCTTAAAGTGGACATTATTTTCTTGTTTTTCTTGTTTGTCCTTGTTTTTATATAAGCGAATGCTGTTTCTAGGTTTTTTTTTTGGTTGTTCTATTCTGTCCCTATTTTTATTTCTTCCTTCTCTCTTTCCCTCTAGTCTTCTTCACCAGTTCTTTGTGTAATCTTCCTTTATCCTCCAGCCTTGCTTCTAATCTCTTCTTCTACTTCTCTATTTCCCCCCCAATCTCTTTTTAAAATTTTCCCCTGAGGGTAAAATGGCCACATTGAGGGCACACTTATTGTATACAATTTTCTGGATTGTTTTTTTAGATTTTGTTATATAACCACAAATTAGTTCAATAGATTGGCAGATCAATACTTAACACAGTCTGTCATTTTCTAGACTGTGTTTGATGCTATTGTTATTACTGATTTTACTACTGTAGCCAAGGTAACAATAATTGTTCTAATCAGTTGAACTCACTATGTAGCTGAGGCTGGCCTCAAACTTGCAGTGATCCTTCTAACTTAGCCCCTGAGTGCTGGGGTTACAGATATGCACCTCCATACCTGGTATCAAGTTGTTTAAAATGATTAAAATAATAAAAGATATGCTATGATCATATGGAATAAAATTAGAAGTAACAGAGGAATATGGGACATTCCAAAAATATAGAAATTAGACAACACAATCTTAACCAATAAAGAAAATTAGAAATACACAGAGGTGAATGAAAATAAAAGCACAATATATCAAATTTGTGAGATACAGGAAAAAACAGTACTTTGAAGAAAATTTATATTTGCAAACCCCTAGATTAAGAAAGATCTCAAATCAGTGTCATAAACTTTCACTTGCTTGCCTAGCTTAAAGGGGTTGGAAAGATATCCTGTATTCATGGATTGGAAGACTTAAAATTGTTAGTCTGGCTTTATTACCCAAACTGATTGACAAACAATGTGTTCCCCGTAAAACAGTAGCTTTTTTGATTTCAGGAATTGATAAGTGAATCCTAAAATTCTTTCTTATTGTGGGCTTCCCTGTGTGTTGTAGGATGTCTAGCAGTTTCCTTGCCTCTATATAGTAGATGCCAACTGCTATAAATCTGCGTTAAATGGCTTTGGAAGCCATCAAAATTGCCCAGGTGGAGTCACAGGCCCTGGATGTAGAAGTTCCCTTTGCTCAGAAACATTAAATCCCATGCACATAAGAGGCCCTGACTGTCTCCCACGGGTTACCCCTGCACACTCAGAGCCTCAGTGTCACGCACAAATTCACTCATGCAGTAACTCGTTCTCCAAGGTGATGGCTGGTCATAGTTTAAAAAGAACAGACTTTTCTGACAGGGAGATTTTTAGAACTGGTAGTTGCAGTTCCTGCAGATGGTCCCCAACCCCTACCACACAGTCATCTTCTTCCTCCTCTCCTGCTTTGCCTCTCTACACCTGCACTTCTGACCTGGGCTGCTTCCCTGCTGGGATAACCCCGACCTGTATCCCTACAGGTTTGTGCCCTGTTACTATGCCCTTGTCAGTCTTTGTTGCTGCAGTACCTAGTTATGGTCATGACAGCACCAAGATGTGCCCATGTTCCAGATCTGCTCATCCTTGCTCCATATATACTTATAACTTCATCATCTCCAAATAGATGGGGCGAATTTTCCTGCCTGTGTAGCACCTCCTTCCATAGCCTGCTGGACTAGTTCTCGTACTTCCTGAAACTCAATCTGTCCGGGTTTGAGTTTAGTGGAACCCTGACTGTGTCCTGGGTAAAGTGTAACCTTATGCCTCCCCACCAATGAGGAAGCAGAAGCATTTTGAATGATATAGAATAAGGCACTGCAGGCAGGATAATGTCCCTTTGCCCCAAAGGTGTCTCTAATCTCCGGACCCCACAGATACAAAGATGATTGGAATATACATTGTGTAACAAAAAATTTGTTTCAGTAAAAGGCACCTTGCCATGAAACCTCAGAATGCATCTACTGCCTTTGAGCACACATATCCCATTGTTTTTATCAATTTGTGAAGTAGGTCTAGAAGTCCTCTTTTGTGTCTCCTTGAAGTATGATAAAAATTGTGCAGATGTTGCTACTGAGTGCCAGCCAACAGAAATTCATCCCTGTAAAAACATAACAGTGATTTCTCACATACTTTCATTCACTGGTTCTGGCACTGTGTGACTTCTGGCTCTTCCCCAATGTCAAAATGACCACAAGAAGTAAACATTTTGAATCGGTTCAGGACATCAAGGCAGCTGTCATAGCACAGCTAAAGACACTCACAAAGAGGACTTCCAGAACTGTTCCAGGAAGTGGCAAGGATGTTGGGATAAGAGTGTCCGACACAAGAGGAGCTATTCTGAGGGGGATCAATGGCAAGACGTCTTCATTGTAATAATTTTTTGAAAATTTAAATATTAGCTATAACTGATTACATCTTGTATGTTTCTTTAAATGGCAAAGAGGGAGTTGAGGTAGCTTGTGGAGCTAAGATTGATCATCAGCTGACTTTAACATAGGGAAATTTTCATGAATTATCTGGTGGCCTCAATGTATCTAAGGTCCTCAAATGTGAAGAGAGAAACAGAAGTCTGAGTCAGAGTGATGCTATGTGAGAATTTAAGCAGCTGTTGCTGACTTTGAAAATGGAAAAGGGTTCTCAGCTAAGGAAGGCAGACAGCCTCTAGAAGCTTGCAAAGACAAGGAAATAGATTCTCCTCACAGTTTTCTATATAGGCACACAGCCCTACTGACAACTTAATTTCAGCCCAGTGACATCCACTTTTGACTTCTGAACTATAGGACTATCAAATCTATAATGTAATAAATTTATGTTGTTTTAAGATACTGTGGTTTGTTAGAATAGCAACAGAAAATGAATAAAGCTGTTAGCTTTCCATTACTAAAACGAAACACTTGAGATAATGAGCTTACAAAGATGAAAGGTTTACTTTGGCTCACAGTTTTAGAGGTCTCAGTTCATGGTAGGTCGACCCTGTTTCTTCGGGTGAGACAGCACATCATAGCAGGAGCCTGTGGTGGAGGCAAACTTCTTACCTCATGGTCAGAGAGTAAAAGAGAGTGAAGAGAGGACTGGGATCCATATTCTTTCAACAGTAGGACCCCAATGATCTTAAGAATTTCCACTAGACCAGTGATACCCTACTGGGGACTAAACCTTTAACTCAGACCTTTGGGGGATACCTATGTCCAAACCATAGCAGATAACTATGTGTAAGGATTAGAGGTGGGAAGAACATTCTGGAAGACTATTGCTATGCCTGGGGAGGGGTCTGAAGTTCTTTAGGGAGCAGACCTGGCAGTGAGAAAGCAAAGATGGACATAAATTGGGAGAAAGCTAGGACACAATGAATCTGGGGACAAACTTACCAGGCAAACAAGAAGCCATGCGTGTCTTCCCACCACTCCTCACCACGGAGTTGAGGAGAAGATTCAGTGAGAAATGAAGGAGCCGCAGGCAAGTTGCTGGACCATATCAGCCAGCAACAGTGGCTGTGAGCTGCACCAGCCCTGGGACCAGGCTTGGCCTCTCCCTCCACATCTGGGTGATTTGCTCTGGAGGCAAACACTTACCTGGAGCCATCCAGGAGAGGCAATTCTGGGAAATGAGCATCTGCTTGGCTATATGGATACAGTGAGACGCCACCATGCACTCTGTGGGCCCCTGGACAGTGGTGGGGCTGTGGCCCTGCCCAACATGCAGAAATGGTATTAATTCCAGTGAAATGAATTGTGTCCCTCCAGGGTGAAGATGCCCCATAATTAGAACACCAATGAGTGGGAGAAGGATGCTACTGTGAAGGGCTCTGCATTGCCAAGGCTGCCATGGGTCGAGCAATTTAGTCTTGGCAAGAGACAAACTACACTGTGGGCCCGCGCACAGCTTCTGTCATGCAGCTCCGACACTGGCGGGTGTGATGGGCATTGACCGGTCACCCGTCCACCTGGTGCTGCAGTGCCCGCCCGGTAGTGTGTGGCCCCTTGTGAGTGCTGGCCTGAGGCCTACCAACCTGCACACTTAGGGTGTTCTGACTTTCCAGTTTCAATCATGCTAGGCTCCAAGCCGCTTGCCAGTGTGGATCCAATCCAAGGGACTAAGTAAAGTCAGGCAACTCCTTTATTCATTTAAAAACATGAACTGAAAATAGCACCAACAGGGCAAGTACTGGGGCCACTGTAGTGAATAAGACTGTCTCACTTCTGATTTTTGGAGCCAGGTATTTATGAGGGAGGAAGCCACTGAACAAGTATTTCTAGGGTGACATGAAGAGTGGAGTGCTGTGGGAGGGCACGGCAGGGGGCCTGATCCGCCAAGGCTGGGCTGTCAGGGGGAAGGCTTCTCTGAAGAACTGGTATTTAGGTCGGGAACTCAGCCAAGAGAAAGGGAAGAGGGAATCTTACAGGAAGAAAGAATGTGACCAGCCTGAGGTGACAAGAACATGAAATCAGGGTATTCCTGTGCTAGAGGGCTTGTCCAGGATCTTGATGTCCTAAGCAAAGAACTGAGCAGGATGCCCCAGAGTAGCAGAAGGATCAGTGATTGATTTGAAAGAGAAAAGACAAGAGCCACTCCACAGAGTAGAAGCCATCCACTGGGAATAGCTCACAGCACCAAGGGGCTTGGTGTTGAGGGTATTAAGCCTTAGGGTTTGCAGTGGGATGGAGGGTTTGGTCCAAGGTTTGACTCTTGCTAATGAGCAACCTGACTCAGCCCCTCCATAGGGTCATGGAGTCTTTTACCCTTGCAGGAAATGTCACTTTGTCTGCAGCCCCTGGGATGGTCACATCTGCATAGTCAGTGACATGGTAATTAGCTTTGGCATTTTCCAAGGGTTGCTGAAGACTACTGGACACATGCCTGGGGACTTACCGTACATGAGCTAAATTACCTGGTTACCTTCACCCATTGTGTTTAGACCTGGGCATCCTGGTCCTGGGTGTTTAACTTGGAAGGTGGGTCTAGTCCCAGAAAGCGGGCTCCAGGTGGACCCTCCCTTTCCCCCAGAAGTTTCCTTGGTTACCATATGCATCAGATCTAGTCCAGGGAATGAGCTTTAAGGTGAGTGGACCCTTCCATCTTCAGTTGTTTCCCTAGCTACCTCCTGCCTCAAAGGAGCAGGAACAAGTTCAGAAATAACCAGCTAGGGAAGGTGAGGCTCGGAGGAGCAGGGCCACATCCAGCAAGACACAGGGAAGCAGGGCGGTAGGGGAGAAACCAGGGTTCAGAATGTGTCTCTTCATGATTGCACTACCCTGTGAGGAGAATGAGGTAGAGAAGGGCAGGAGAGGCAGGACCACCAGATGGGAGGCGAGTATGCGGCCACCCAGGGAGGAAAGATGGCAGCTTAGACAGGGCAGGACCATGGGGTAGAACTGCAGGGTCCAAGAGCTATGCAGGAGGTGCAGTGAGTGGGACCTGGTGACGGCCTGGACGAAGAGTAGGAAAAAGGAAGCAAGAAGGACACTCGGAGGTTCTTGGTCTGAATCAAAGACAAAGTGTGACCATTTGCTAGGACGACAGAAAGCAGAGTAGTCTGGCCCCGAACTCATGGCAACCCTCTGCCTCAGCCTCCCTAGTGCTGGCATTACAGCCCCCAGCAGTACTTTTGAAGCTTAGGATTACTAGAATTTCCAAATGAAATATAGGACATCCAGTTAAATGTGACTTTGAGATAAATAAATGGTATGTCCCAAATATGGGACAGGACATGCTTATACTAAAAATTTGTTATTTATCTGAAATTACAGATAGAGCACATAGATGACATCCATGCTTATGTGGCAGACACGAATTAGACGACTTTAAAGAGAGAATGATATATCCCGTATTTAAAAAGTCCTAATCATTTCTGTAAATAAAAAATGCTAGTGTATTCAAAGCATTATAGAGTAAATTTTTTAGTGTAGGTATATCTAGTGAGGTATTTGGGACATAACTCTTGGACACTTAAAACTGCTTAGTGAAATTCAAATTTAACTGAGTATTCTGTATCTTTGCTAAATTTGACAACCATAAGTGCTACATATTACCTTCATGTTTCCTTATGACATGGCAATTTAAGGACTGATTTGAACTCGAGTCCTTCATTCTGAGTTACACTTCCTGCCTTGTTGAGACAAAGTTTCACTAGGTTGTCCTCGCTGGGCTTGAACTTGCTACCCTCCTGCCTCAGCCTCCTGGAGTGCTAAGATTGTAAGTGTGTGCCACTATGGCTGGCCAAGAATCTGTTTCTGAAATACTTGCTAGTTGTGAGGCCAAACAGGGTGACTTGTTTCCCCCTAGTGGTGAAGAAGATCAAGACACGTATGTTCAATGCTCCCACTTAATCTGCTCTATGCATGTAGCAAGGGGCTAAAGCATGCGGCTCGCTTTCCTGGAGCTTGTCATGTGGCAGGGGCCTTCATATAAAGCGGTACCGGTGCTCTTCCCGGGGAGCGCACCGGACCATCATGCAGGTCCAGATGGGTGAAGGTGACTTCTACGTGTGGATGTGGGGGAGCTAACTTTGGGCGATCCCAGAGTGGATGAGGCGCCTTTCTGTTGCAAAAGTCATCATTCTTTGTTTGTGCAAAATTCCCACAGTATTAAAAGCATTTTAAAATTGGAGAAGATAGTAAAGTATACAAAAAGATACCATGTTCTTTCTTCCATGTTTAAGGACTAATTCTGGAAAAATAAATTCTCCACTAGAAAAGTAGGAAAGTTGATTTTCTTTCTTATTCCATTTCCCTCCAGCTCCTTCCTCTCTGAGGGATCCAGAAAACCTTGCTGGGTTGAGTCACTGTGAGAAGTAATGTTTAATTTTACTTCACCATTGAGCGGTGTTGCTTCTAATTTCCTTTCTCCTCCAAGCCTCCCACACTTCTTTTCCTAAGTCAGAATGTCTAGTCGGTCGACTTCCTTTCTTCATATTCATCATTAATTACTTCTCTACCCAGAAGATGTCTTCTGCTGGAATTCAGGGAAGAAAAAAATTCATAGAAAGGGCAGAAAATGGCATTTCCTTTGTATGGAAGATGTCAAATTTTCTGGTGTGTTCCTCTGAGGTGAAAGGAGACACTATGTTTCCATCAGTGTAAATACCCCACCACAAATATACACATACATTCACGCTGCCCTCAGGACCAGCAATTCTGTTACTACCCTAAGCCCAGGAAAAAGGTTGTGAGAAAAAGCTGGATGTCACTGCTCTTTGTCACTATTGGTAGGTATCAGAACTTTTCTCGGGCAACTATTTTCTTCCTGGTCCATTGTGAAGAATAATTTGAGGATGCTTATTAGAAATAAAAATATAGAAGGATTCTCATCTTGAATACAAAGTATGCTCAACTTCTGAGTTGGATGCATTTAGAATGGGGGAGTGATCTGGATTTGCCGGTACACAACTGTAATCCTGGCTCTCAGAGGCTCAGGCAAGGGAGCCAAAGTGAGATTGCGGCCAGTATGGGCTACAAAGTGCGTTTAAGACCAGCCTGAACCACTGAGGGAGCTCCTGTCTCAAAAAACCCACATGTACAGTGGCACCTTGGTTCATGAGTAATTCTTTCCACAATTCTGGTACCAATCATGGAATGTATTCTGTATCCAAAATCATGGAGAGAACTAAGTCTATGAACCAAGGCATACCCACCCCATATATATGGAGACGGAGAGGGAGAGAGAAGGAAAACAGGATCTAACTGTGAGATGGAGGGGGAACCTCCTCAGAACGAAGAGAAATACTATTTGCAAAGGGAAAGCAGTTTAATTCAGGAAAGCAAGGAGCCTGCAGTGCCACTGCAAGCTCTTACTTAGCGAAGCAGTCCTCCCACTAGGGCTTAAATTCAGGCTGTGCAGAAGAAAAAAAAAGCAAACAATTTCTGCACAGGCTCTGAAGACAGTAATGGAAGGATGCTGGACACTGAAGCATGTTAGTCTCAGTCCTCTATTATAAGTCTCTTGTTTATTTTTGTAAACATGTATACCTGATTTCACTCAACCTGCTCTTCTTTTTCTAAAAGCTTGCGGTTCAACATTAGGTTATTTGAGCTCGTTCCATTTTTCTGATGCGGGAATTCACTGCTATAAATTTCCCTCAGAGACTGCTTTCCAGTATGTTATATTGGCATTATTAATTCTATAAACTGTCCAATTTCTTCTTTAATTTCATTTGTGACCCATTAATTTTTCAGGAGGGTATTAATTTCCATGTTTATGAGATTTTATGGATTCTTTTGCCATTGGTTTCCAATTTCAGTGCACTATGATCTGATAATTAGAATGTACAATTTCAATTCTTTGAGTTTCCTTAAGCATGTTCTGTGAGCTGGTACAGTGGACCCTTGACTTATGAACTCAATTCCCTACCAAGGGCTGGTTGTAACTCCAATTGGTAAATTACTTTCAAAGTCTCTTGTATAATTTTAGGCTTCACTTTCTTTTAGGCAGATCTGTCTTCAGAGAGACACTGGCCCAGGACTTCTCAATTAACCCCATACAGGAAAGGATGTTGTATTGTTCCTTCCAGAACTCTTTAAGGGTTAAATCTGTATTTTAGACCATCTGGAAGCACAAGTGGTCAGCATTTGGGTTGTAACTCAAGATGTTGGTTGTAAGTTAAAGCTAAAATTCTGGTCACAACCCAAGTTGTTTGTATGTCAAGCAGGTCATAACTCAAGGATCCACTGTATGTGGTCTGTTTTGGAGAAGGTTCTGTGTGCAGAAGGATGTGTATTCTGTTTTGGTGGGGTGGAACACTGTAGATATCTATTAAGTCTATTTGTTCAAAGGCTTGGTTCAGCTAATTTTTTTTAGTTGACCTATTTGTGAAAGAGTGGTACTGAGGTTCCATTAACACTGTATTCAGGCTTGATTGTTCATATCCATTAATGTTTCTTTTACATAGCTCAGTGTGCTGGTATTTTGTGCATATATATATGTATGATAGTTATCTCTCCCTCTTGGAATGTTCTCTTAACCAGTGTGTAGTGACTTGTCTCTTCTGATCAGTCTTGGCCTGAAATCCACTTGGTCTTCAAAAATAGCTGTCCTGGCTTTTTTATGGGTTCCTGTTGTAATGGAGTATTTTTTTCCTTATTTTCAGTCTGAGTTTGTCTTTCAGTTAGATATGTTCCTTGCATGCAGCATACTCTGGGATCTTGCTTGTTGATCCATTCTAGGGCTACATCTTTCTTTGGTGTCTTCTCATTTTGTGTTTTTGATTTGTTTCCTGTATTGATGCTTGTAAACTGCTTATGGAAAGTAGCATTATTACTAGTATCAAGACCTTCTTAGGAAATGAGTACTTTTCAGATGTCTTCCATGTGTAGATGGCTTTTGAGCCTGTCCCAACATGACTTCCTCTTCCATTTACTAGGGATAAGAAGTCACTGTTGCACCTAGCACCCAGTTCTTTGGTACTGGACTATGGTATTGTTTATGATCTTCTGACAACCTTTGTACTGGCATACAAGGGTGAACAATTGGTCACAACTATGTCACCTTGGCTAAAGTAGTACGATGAGTAGCAACATCATCTAGCACAGTTTATAAAGTGGCAAACGAATGTGATTATTGATTTGCCACCTTTAACCATAGGAACAAGATGAATAGTTACATAACAAAATCTAAAATAAACCCAGAAAATTTTATATAGTAAATACCCCCTCAATGGAGCAATTTTACCCTCAAGGGAGAAAGTTTAAAAGGGAGAAGAGGAAGAGGAAAAAAACAGGGAAAAAGGAGAAGAAAAAGATTAGAAATGAGACTGAAGGACAAGAGATTACCTGTACTTTGGAAAAATGGTGAAGACAAAAGGGAAAGAAAGCAGGAAGAAACAAAAAACAACAACAAAAACCCCTCTAGACACTGGCCATGTACCCACATTCGATACCTCACAAAACTTTGCAGAGTCTCCCTCTTTCCTCTGGTCGCTGACTCATCAACCAAACTGAGGAAGACCAGGAAACGTTGGGGCCAAGTGAGCCACAGCCATGGCTACATCGGCAAGCACCGGAAGCATCCCAGAGGCTGGGATAAGGCTGCTGGCATGCGTCACCACAGGGTCGACTTTGACAATATCACCCAGGTTACTTTGGGAAGGCTGATATGAGGCATTACCACGTAAAGAAAAAGCAGGGCTTCTGCCCAACTTTCAACATTGATAAGTTGTGGGCATTGGTCAGTGAGCAGACGCAAGTAAATGCTGCCCAAAATAAGCCTGGAGTAGCTCCCATCATTGATGTAGTGAGGTCTGGCTACTACAAAATTCTTGGGAAAGGAAAACTCCCGAAGCAGTCTGTCATTGTGAAGGCCAAATTCTTCATCAGAAGGGCTGAGGAGATTAAGGGTGTTGGGAGGGGGTGTCCTGGTGTCTTGAAGCCACTGGAAAGGGGGCTCATTAAATGCTAACAAGTGGTTTTAAAAACAAAAACAAAAACAAAACCCTCTAAAACAATTTTCACTCTCATGAATAAACAAGAACAAACAAGGCGGGGGGAAGTAAACAGAAAAAAAAGAGGAATTTATGTTTTTTTAAGCCTGTGGTTATCTTTTAGAGTGTAGTTTTGTGGTAATATCCATTTCCCAGTGTGTCTTGGTTGTCACTGGTACATAAAAGGAAGGAGACAGAGCCCAGATCCATGTTGGCTGATCCCAGCAAGCCTGCAGTAGAATTAAGGTGGGATGTTAGATAAACCCATCGTTCCTGGATTTCAACTCTGTAGTTCAGGCTGATCCACGTCTGTGGCTGTGAGGCTGGGGCTCAGGTTGTTCAGCCCACAACACTGGGTATCTTTTGCCAACTTGACCTCAGCTACCTGACCCTGGATGTCTCCCAGGTCTACACCTCACCCTGACACTGGTCACCCCAAGATGAAGCCCATCCATGGTCTGGGTCCTGGGCTCAGCTGGCCCCTACCCAGAATGTCATCCAGTCGACCACCCTCTCCGGGGGATGTTTGGACTGAAGTCACTCACCAGCCACTGCAGACCACAACATCCACTGCTCCATTCCACTGGAGCATTTCTCCCTGGAGGCCGCTGGAGTCACTGGCCATCACTGTGCCCGTACAGATTTGAGCCTGCTCACACCTAGCGCCAGGAGTCAGGGAGAAAGCACTATTTGCCACCTCCCTCTTCTGCATTGAGGTTCCTCTTTTTGTTCTCTCCAAGGGCTCCAATTCTTGCTTCGGCTCCTTACTGGGTCCTAGGCTTCACTTCTCTCCTTCTCTTCCCCAAGTCGCTGTACTCAAGTGTCTGGAATCTGAATCTTGGAGAGGTTGATGTGCTGCTCCTCACCACTTCGCCATCTTCCTGGAAGTGTCTAGTTTTGTTCTTTTGAGACAGGGTCTGGCTATGTTGTTCAGGCTGGCCTCAAACTCTCCATTATCCTCCTGCCTCAGACTTCCAAGAGCTGAGATTACAGGCATGCATTTCCCTGCCTGGCATCATTAGTCCCTTTTAAAGTCAGGAGCTGGCACATAAAAATGTATTACATTCAAGGGAAATTTTAAAAACACACCAAAACCAAAGAATTTTTGGTCCAGTGTTTATTACATAAAATTGTTTACAATAGTAAAAACTTAAGACAAAAATACAAATCAAACAAGACCCAAATATGTTGCATAGCAACAATGAAAATTTGGCTATGTCCTTCAATAAGCCAAGAACACACACACGTTTCAGAAATATGCACCTGGTGCCCATTTTGGATCCCACTCATGTATCCTGACTTCCTGAGCACCTTCTCGGTGCAGCAGCCCTGCCACAGGTGCTGGGGACACAGAGGTGACTGAGGGGGGCCCCTGCCCTCACAGAGCTGCTGCTCTAGGAAGAAGACAGACATATAACATAACACACAGCTTGTCAGGCAGTCGCAGGGTTGGGGGAGACTTTCACAGACCACCAACTCCTGAAGAGCAGTTGAGGCTGCTTTACATGTCGTCTCTCTTAGGGGAGAAAGCTACAAACTTAAATATTGTCCCTCCAGAAATAGGTATTGAACCCAGGGCTTTGTGCATGCTAGGAAAGCATTCTACCACTGAGCTCCAGCTCTAGATTTTTTTGTTTTTGAAAAAGGCTCATGCTGTTTCCCTGGCCAGTTTTGAACTTGTGGGTTTAAATGATCTTCCTGCCTCAGCTTCCAGAGTAGCTGGGACTACTAGTATGCACTATCTTGCCAGACCTAAATTATATTTTTGTTGTTGTTGTTTTTTATAGCAGGGATCAAACTTACAACCTTGTGCTTATGAGGGAGGTGGCAATGCCACTGTGCTAAATCCCTGGCCCTAAATTATATTTATAAATTGTTTTACAGGTTGCAAATTTTTGGTCAGACTCTTAAAGTTCATAGCTCTGAGCAGCATTTCTAATCAGAATCTGTATTAATAAGTACTTTTATGGCTGTGCCACTACAGTAAGGCCCACATCTTAAGTATGAGCATATCTATATACGTGCTATCGGCCCATGTCCGTTTCATATTAACAGTTTAGCATGTTCGTCATATAAATCCTCAAAACAGCCTGTCCCTAGAAACTACCAGCACTATAATTTTCAGGCAGTTTACTGATGCCCCCAAATTCATGGTATTTCTAAGAACAAACTACTGTTCAGAAGAAATACTCTCTTAAAACTAAGCAGCACATCCTTCTGAAGAGCACTGTGCAGTTAGAAAGGAACTCGGAATACAAGGCAAAACAGAACCCGTCTGCTATCCTTTCTTTCTGTTGCCATCAGGTTTGTGGAAAACCACGGTGGGTTCAAACCCAAAGGCTTGCATTCCCACAGCTTGGGGACCTACAGTTTCACTGGCACCTTTTACTGTTACGGTGTGGGGTTTCCCTCTCCACATCCTACAAGGCTGTTTGGTTTTAGGCTGCCCAGAGGGATGCAGCGAGTGCGAGGCAAGATCACTGAGAGGCAGTGCTGACAGGGGTCACGAGCTGTTCCCGATTGTCCCCTCTTCAGTGGCCCCTTCCGGGATGACAGGGCCATTACCATGCGCAGCAGCAGAGGAGCTGCGCTTGGGGGTCACTGCAGGGGTCCCCAGCAGGGCGGGTCTCCACAGGACCCCACCTCCTGTGTGCTGGATGACTCTGGAAGCCGGCAGCAGGTCAGGAACACCTGTGGTCTGCACACCTGTGTCTGCACCCAGGAGGAGCGGAGCACTGTGGCACCCCAACCTTCCCTTCCACCAGGATGACTGTGCCACCTCGGCAGAGGTGTTGGCCTTGGTCATCTTCCTCCCCAACATGCCTTCACAACTTCTCGGGTCCCTCCTGCAGTCACTGGAGGGAGAACTCTGTCCTAGAGGCCACCAGGATTCCTAGACTTCCTGCTGATAGAGGACACCCATGGATGATCCCAAATGCTAAGTCACGTAAGAGAAAGCCACGGGTGCCTTTGGAAAGCATGGTGTAATTTCTTCTGTTTTTTGAGACAGAGTCTTGCTATAGCACAGGCTGGCCTTCAACTTGCAGTGATTCTCCTGCCTCAGTCTCCTGTGTCCTGGGAATACAGGTGTGTGCTACGATGTCTAGCTTTTTAAACATTAGGCTTTTGTTCCTTTCGCTTCTTTCCCCTTGTCTTGATATTGAATAACTTGCATTTTTCTCAAGTGTGTACAGGCTGAGTGGAAGGGACATCTGAATACTGCTAGACACTATTTTTCCTTTTACTTTTCTGAGACAAGGTCTTGCTATGGTTCAGGCTGCCCTTGAACTCGCTATGCAGCACAGGTTGGCCTCAACTCTTGGCAATCCTCTTGCCTCAGCCTCCTGAGTGCTGGGATTACAGGCATGCACCACCACGCCTGGTAGTCTGGTTTTAAAGTGACACAGCTAAGCCATAAAAACACAATGGGCTAAAAAGATTGTACACATTATTCTTACTTTTTCATCAAATTCACTTGTCTTCCTTATGAGTCTACTTCTCTTTTTTAAAATGGGTATTTTCTGGTCCTAAGACTATTTCCTATGTATACTGTACCTAATCAGTACATACTCTTGAGATAAAAAACAGAACAATGGCTTCTCTTAAAATTAGTAACTGCTCTCTAGGACTTCAGTGACTCAAAATCCTAATCAGAAGCTATTGTTCTAGTAGGTTATGAATTAGGAAATCTGAATGTAAGGACAGGTATCTGTGTTACAGAAGCCAATGTTCTCACAATACTTTTAATCATCATTTTCCTGGCATCTGTGGTTACTTTGCAGAAAATCAAGTTGATAACGGCATTCAGATTTTTCTACGTAAATATCACAAAGGCCTACCTCAAATGACCTAAATATCTCCTACAGTCTCCGAAATGGAGAACAAAGGAAGCCAGCAGCAGTATGGCAGAATTACCTGAGGTAGCCATACATTCTCTGTAGCCACAGAATGCAGCACAGTGGTACGGAAGCCCTGGGAAGACGGTGGCCATGCTCAGAGCTAACTCATCAGACAGCCCAGACGAAGGCAGCACACTTGGCTCCAGACCCTCTCACTATATTTTGATGCTTGCCTGTATGGTCAAGACCTTGATCTGAAGCTTGTCTTCCTTCCCCACAAGCGAACAGCCTCTGTGCAGGCCCTGAGAGCTCAGTGCTAGGACAAACTCCTGGGGCAACGGAGGACTCAGGAGATCATTCCTGGAGATAGGACTTTCTGCTGCAGAAGCTCTTCACTTATTTGACTTTCCAGAGTTTCACCTTCATAAGAATAGTTTCCTGAATCTTGACTGGTCTGGGGATCGTACTTCTTGCAGTCTTCATCAATTTCATTAGTTTGCTCTGCTATGATAACACTTTGTGTGTTTTCAATTATGAAACATTTTTCTGTTTGTTCCTCAGAAGTAGAAAGTAGAAGATTTCCAAATGAATGTTCAGAGAAATTCTAATTTAAAAGAGAGAAGGAATAGAAAAGGATTATTTACAATAATAAATTAATTAGTTTTCTGATAACTTTAGTTTTTTATGTCTATCATTTAGAAAACTTATTTTTTGGCACAAAGATTTTAAAAATCAGCTAAGAACATACCAATGGAATTAGAAAGTCTAGATGGAAATCAATAATGAGTTTACATATTTTTTTTTCTTTTTGGAGACAGGATCTTGCTATGTAGTCTGGGCTAGCCTTGACTCACTATGCAGCCCAGGCCAGGCTCAAATTTGCAGCATCCTCCTGCCCCAGCCTCCTGTGTGCTGAGATTACAGGTACGCACCCCCATGCCTGGCAATATAGTGCTTTTATTTAACATGCTACCCTCATAAAAGGGTCCGGTAAAAAACTAATGTGTCATGAAAATAAACTCTTGATTTTAGTAATTTCACATTCTGTGGCTTCATCCACAGAATACACTTTTTACACCAAGTGACTGAGTCTTTGTGATACACAGTCAAGAATCACAGAGTTCAAATGTAAAACAAATGCCTCAGTAGCCAAACAGTCAGAAAAATGGGTGCTTAAAAACAAACTACTATACAATATTAAATGACTGTTTCTACAGTGAATTTATGGAAACCGAGGAAAATATTCTAAATCTACCTGAATTATTTACTATGTACCAAGAAAACTTATATATTGTGGAAATCAAACTATCTTCTAGCTGTAGACAGAGAAAAGTGACAAACCTCATCGATACTGCAAGGAAGTTTAAGTGCCGGGAAAAACACATAGTTGAGACACCTCTGAAGGATTTTCATAACACAGATGACTATGACCAGTAGGGGCAAAATTCCAATTACTATCCACATGGTAGAAAAAGTTCCTAAAAAAGACACAGAGGGTGTTCAGCATCAGTACGTGTATTGACTCACAATGAATGTATGTAAGACTAGCTATATGAAAGGAAATCTATTAAACAATACCCTTAAGAGTATTTCCATAACACTGAGTGTGCAACAGGGAGTAATGATATTTGCATTTGAGTTCACCCTGGACACTGAACTAAGAGCTCTGAAGGGAAGAACACAGAATCGACATACAGAGCCCAACAGGTGAGGATTCTCCAGTGAATATTCTACTACGTTCAGCTAGCAAACTTTTCAAAATATTCTGTAAGGCTCTACCAGTCAGCTCTAGCAACTGTAAAATACAAGATTGATTAGACAACCACTCACACATTAAAAAAAAGTTCACAATAGAACTACTTCTGTTTTCATATCATCAAAGATTATGTAAAGAATTAAAATGAATGCAGTTTTTCATGATAAAGAGCAATCATTAAAGAAAATGAATGATGTGGATACCAGATGAAATATAAAGCATTAAATGTTTCTGAGCTGGACATGGTGGCACAGGCCTGTACTCCCAGCACTTGGGAGGCTGAGGCAGGAGGATGGCTGCCAGTTTGCGGTCAGCCTGGGCTGGCTACAAAGTGAGTTCAAGGCCGGCCTGAACTACACAGCAATACCCTGTCTCAAAAACACCCAAACCCTCCTAAAACAAGCAAGCAAACACCCAAAACAGCAAACAAACAACAATTTCTAAAAGCGAAGCACTTAGCTTGAAGCTTTTTGGTATAGTATTTTACTTTTTGGTGGAAAGTTTACTTTTGATTCATATAGTTCATGAAGACACTCTCCTATCTTTTGTAGTGAGGAGGAATGTCTTACAATTTTCTATTTTTCTCGAGTCTGGTTACATTCCGTAAAAGGTATAGTACGAGTCCCTCACCTGGCTTCGTTTGCTCACATACTGCAGCACTGAAAGCACTGGTTTTATTCCTCTCGTCCTCCAGAAGGTGCCACCTGGCTTTGACACAATATAGCCTCAGTGGTTGCAAGTTAGGGATAGCAATGTCCATTTCTTTTGCTATAATTTTCCTCTATAAAATAATTAAATCATTGATAAAATTAATCACCTTGTGAAATCAGATAGGGGATTATCTGATTTTCTGAATTCTTTCACATTCAATTTAATGCTGGCCTCTCTCAAGCAGTTGGTATGTAGTTAGGAAATATAAATTTGATTTATATTTGAGCAACTCACTGTAACTGAGTGAAAGGTGTCGTGACTAAGATGATACATCCCTGGGACATCTCTGATCTAAGGAGCACATGCTGGTGCAGTTTAACTGCTACTGTAACAGAACGACTGAGAGCAGGGTTTTGGCTTCAAACTGCTGTGTGCTTGCTGCAAGTTATTTAATTACTTTATGCCTTATTTCCTGATCTATAGGATTTTTTTTTTTTTTTTTGTACTAGGGATCGAACTCAGAACCTTGCGCTTGCAAGGCAGGCAGCGGAACCACTGAGCTAAATCCCCGGCCCTTCCTGTCTGTACAATGAGATCATTGCTCCTCTCTGTATTGGTCAGCAATTAATACAACAGTGTATGTAATGAAACCACCCCAACTTTTCATGGCTCAAAACATAATTATGTACTTTTCTCAGGCACAAGTCCAGGGAGTGGCGGGAGGAGGTTCCACTGACGCTGTGGGTCAGGCCTCTGCCACTCCATTGACTTGGCCTCCACAGGCGGATAGGCTTTCAACCCCCAGAAAACAGGGCAAGCATTGAGCTGAGCCTTTGCTGCCTCTGCCCGCAGCACGGCCACTGGGCTCCACCCTCCGCGGCCAGTGTCAGTGAGCGGGATGAGCACTGCAGCACTCCACGTGTCTGCTGAACAGGTTCACCGAGCATATTGTGTGGGTGAATGACTGGGTGATTTATGTAAAAAGCATGATAGGAAAAGATGGCAACTCAAATTTATTCAATCTTTACTATTTGTCAAAGCAATGTTCTATTTTCATGTGACCCTCTTCAAACCTTATGAACACCCTTTTTTAAAAGAAGGTTTTAGCTGTTATGATTACCAGCACATTAGAGAGGAAACAGAATGTCAAAGAGGTAAGGTGACTTGTCTTAGATTAGTCACACAATTTATTAGCATAGGACATGAATTCAGGTTTGTCTCATCTCAGGATTGCTGAAGGCTGACTAATTCTCAATGGGCTAAGTTAGGCTATGTGACAGAATAGCCAGATAACTAAAATGGAAGCAGTCTAGACACTGGAACTTGCTCTCAATTTACAATAGCAACTGAAGTTACAGAACTTATCAACTTTACATGAAAATTTTAAGGGTTGATTTCTTGATGGTGTTCTACAAGGAATCAATGTGGTTATCTGGTGTGGAGGGCCAAAAACCATCACGATATCTGAAATTCTTTTGCTCCCTTAGAACAATCTTGTCTCCTTGGTAGTGGGACATTTGACAGTGTCTGGAGATGTTTCTGCCTGTCACACCCAGAAGGCATCTGGTGGGTAGAGGCCACATATGTTGCTAAGTATCTTCTGAACACATGGTTTCTCTACTATGAAAAGCCAAAATTATAAGTAAATTGAAGAGCAAAATAAAAGATAGATAATAAGAAACAAGGAGGCAGAACTTTTGTAAAAGGGAAGGGGACCAAGAGATACAGGGAGGTGGAAGGGGAGAGGGGAAGTGGATGGAAAAAGAATTAAGATGTGTTGTACACATGTACCAACTCCCCAAAGGAATGTAATCTTTATATCACGCAAACATGCATATATCAATTGAAAAAATAAAATAAGAAATTACTATGCCCAAGGTTATACAGGGTCAAGAAACCTTGGTTTAGGCAAATAGGTAGGAATCACATTAAAAATGGTTTAGATTCAGTAACACCGGGCTCCAGGTCAGGGCTTAGCACACTAAGCCCAAGACACAGCGAATCCACAGCCTGACCACGCAGAACATGAACAAACGCTGGCATTTTTCACATTGCAAACAGGTGCATGGCTTATCACACGGTCTGTTTTTTTTTGGCTTTTTGAGACAGGGTCTCACTATGTAGGAGACTGACCTGCATCTGGTGGGTAGAGGCCACATATGTTGCTAAGTATCTTCTGAACACATGGTTTCTCTACTATGAAAAGCCAAAATTATAAGTAAATTGAAGAGCAAAATAAAAGATAGATAATAAGAAACAAGGAGGCAGAACTTTTGTAAAAGGGAAGGGGACCAAGAGATACAGGGAGGTGGAAGGGGAGAGGGGAAGTGGATGGAAAAAGAATTAAGATGTGTTGTACACATGTACCAACTCCCCAAAGGAATGTAATCTTTATATCACGCAAACATGCATATATCAATTGAAAAAATAAAATAAGAAATTACTATGCCCAAGGTTATACAGGGTCAAGAAACCTTGGTTTAGGCAAATAGGTAGGAATCACATTAAAAATGGTTTAGATTCAGTAACACCGGGCTCCAGGTCAGGGCTTAGCACACTAAGCCCAAGACACAGCGAATCCACAGCCTGACCACGCAGAACATGAACAAACGCTGGCATTTTTCACATTGCAAACAGGTGCATGGCTTATCACACGGTCTGTTTTTTTTTGGCTTTTTGAGACAGGGTCTCACTATGTAGTTGAGACTGACCTGGAACTCACTATGTAGTCCAGGCTGGTCTCGAACTCACAGTGATCCTTCTGCCTCAGCCTCCCGAGTGCTGGGATTACAGGCGTGTGCCACCATGTCTGGATGCATCATCACACGGTTTTAAAGTTTAAAAATTCCTCCCAAAATGTAAGTCAAGTTTTTTGTACCCAAATCAGAGTTCTAACTCCAATATACAAAATTATGCTATTCTAAGACACAAATCTTACCTCAGTATTTGAAGTGTTTTCCCAAAAAATAATTTCATAAATGAATGGGTGAAATCTGTTCCAGGGCTCTTTTGGAGCTGTGACAAAGACCCGCAGTGAATCACTAGTGGATTTCATGGAAATGTCTGGAGGAAATATGGTATCTAGAAACAATGCGTGGAGGAATAGTGTGCAATTAGATATAATAGCTGAATAGATATTGCCAAACAATTTTAAAAACTTGCAACACACCAGAGAATTATAGTCTCAAGTTAAAAAAAACCCAAAAAACTATTGACTTACAGTACATTTCAGTATTAACTTTTTTCTCCTTAGACCAAAAAGATGTGTTGTTTCCATCAGATGCTTGCACACGGAGAAAGTAAGTTCCTTTTAGGAAAATATTTTGAGGAAATACACAATATGTAGTTCTGACATTTTCACAGTTAGATATTTGTTTCCATTTATCTAAGTTGTCTCCAGGAATCAGTTTTGAAAAGGCACTTTTAAGAAAAAAAAGAAAGGGAAACACATTAATTCAGTAATCATGTGCTGAGTACTTATAATAAGCCAGGCACTGTTAGCGACTAAGGTCACTGGAACAGTTCCCTCACCCACAGGAAACTCACAATACAGCAGATACATACATCTAACACATAAGACAACCAAAGATTGCTCCAGAGTGCGACAGAGTAGTAGGGCTAGAGGTAGCTCATACCGATGTGCAAAAACAACGATTACATTTTTAGGACAATGGTAGAGGGTTTTTAGACACAGTCATGATTAAAAACTTAAGCATAAAACCTTACAAATAAAAATAGTATTAAATATTCAGAACTCATCTTGTCCTTACTGTACCTCACTGTCTACGCTCTCAAAGCGATTCATGTTGATGGTATCCACATGGTGGAAATACTGCCTAATGCTGTCACTGCACGATTTCTCAAGTTTCCAATGTGTCCACCTGCCTCTCAGTCACTCTGCGTTCAAGGAGTTGCAGGTGGCTGAAGTGTGAAAGCACAATCACAACACCTAGGCAAAAGACTGACAGAAAAGAACTTACTATAGCCACTGAGCTCGAAAGGTCACATTTCTATCTTCGTAATCCCATTTCAGAACATAGCTCTGATTTTGAGTACCAACTTCTATATTTTCTGGTGCAGGTGGCTTATGTTCAACTAGAAGTCAGAGAAAACATCAAAAAAGCACACATTTTTACTCCTGTGATATTATATATGGCAAAAATTCTTAACAGCATGTACAAGATGATAAAATACTTATATTTTGTGAATACAAGGCAATATTTAAGTAAGTTATGGTGTGTAGTCACTCTGTGTAATTCTATGCTATCATTTAAAAGAATGTGGTAGATCTGTATGTACTGATACAGGAAGATATTCTCAACGTATTGCCTTGAACAAGCAAGATACAAAATAAACACATCCAGCTTCTTCCCCAGGAAAATACCAAATGGCAGACGATGCTGGTGCAGTGGGAAGGCTGGGAGGCCCAGGTATAGGAGGCCAGCAGTGGCAAGCAGTGGAGGCTTAGGCAGTGGCCTTTAAGGCCGTGGGTGTGCAGGGGCTGGGGTCAAGGCCATGGAGCTCGAAGCAGTAAGGCCCAGGACAAGGAATGGATTCCAGTAACCAAGCTGGCCTGGCTGGGCAAGGATATGAAGATCAACTAACTGGAGGAAATGTATCTCTTCTCCTTACCCATCAAGGAGTGAGATCACTGACATCCCTCAAGATGAAGTTCTGAAGATCACACCTGTGCAGAAGCAAACTTGTGCCAGCCACTGACAACATTCAAGACATCTGACACCATTGGGGACTATAACGGTTACACTAGTCTGGGTGTAAAGTGCTCTAAGAAGTAGCCACTGCCATTTGCAGGGCCATCATCCTGGCCAGCTCCTCACTGTCTCCATGCAGAGAAGCTACTGGGGGAACAAGATCCGCAAGCCCCACACTGTCCCTTGCAAGGTGACGGACTGCTGAGGCTCTGTGTTGGTGTCTGATCCCTGTCCCCAGGGGCACTGGCATCATCTCAGCCCCTGTGCCCAAGAAGCTCTGCTGATGGATGGGATTGACGACTGCTACTCCTCTGCCAGGGGCTGCACCACCTCTCTGGGCAACTTTGCCAAGGCCACCTTTGATGCCATCTCCAAGACCTATAGCTACCTGACCCCAACCTCTGGAAAGAGACCATGTTCACTGTCTCCCTACCAGGAATTCACCCACCATCTTGTGAAAACTCACGCCAGAGTCTCTGTCCAGTGGCAGTTACAACATAGGGTTTTTACACAAGAAAAATAAAATGAGTGAATGTAACGGTACTGTATACCTAAAAAAGTACCAATAAACTCAATAAAAAAAAAAAGAAAATGAGTGAAGTCTGTACAAAAATAAATAAAACAAACACATCCAGCAGGAGCTTCTTTTTAAATTTAATAAAAACAAAATTAAAGAACTCTCCATCTGTGTATATATGCTCATATGTGCCCTAAAAATGTACCAAAGGATATACACAAACTGCTAGTCATGCCTATCTCCTGAGAGACAGAACTGGGAGTAAGATGGCAGGATAGGAAAATTTTACTTTATACCTTTTTATACTATTTGGTTTTAAGAAATAAAGCATATTAAATTTATAACAAACACCCTAGCTCCTATCCTTGACTGTAATTACTGACAAGGTATTAATAACTAAACATATCAGGATGCTTTCATATTTTAATATTTCCTTTAGAGAGATTCAGTTTTTGGAAGATTAACCATTCTACTAGAAACTTACTCCCTCTTTTTATGGATTCTGCGCAAATAAAAACAGATGTTTTTCATTATAAAATACCTGAATTGAAATAGAGTTAATTTTCATTATTTACTTAGACAAAAACCCCAAATATTTTTTGCTTATATAAATGCTTTTGTTTTGTTACTCATTAACTCATTATACAGACATAAATCATCAGGAGAAATGCCAACATTACATACAGACATTCCTTGTTAAACAACCAAGTTCCATTCCTGTGACCAGGTCATTAAATAAGAAATTATGTATATTAATTACAACATTCCGAACAAAGAAATTGTCAAAGGAAACTCCAACTGGATGACTTTGATTTTATTTGGGTAACTCTTACATGCAGTACTGTAATGTATAACAGGACACAAAACTGCAGTACTGTACTATACAGTTCAATCAGCAACAATTTTAGTATTGTACTGTAGAAGACGCTACCATAAGGCCACAATGCTGCTCACATTCCTGCATCATAAGTCCAAATGTGGGTCATAAGTCTGAGCTGTGGTCCCAAGTCTTAACAGTTGTTAAACCGGCAGGTTATTGAATCTAAAGCAAATGGTCCTTACCTGTGGTATTTATACAATATACAGGACTATAGACACCAGATCTATTCTGCAAAGGTAGTCTTGCTTTAGCTTTCAAACAGTAAGTCGTCTCTGGTGAGAGGTTATAAATTTTATCCATGTAATGATCAGTTTCAATTTGTTGCTGTAATAAAAAAGCAATCTCTTCTATAAAAACTATAAAGTCAAATTTTAGAATTCATTTACCTTATTTTTCTCCACATCACATTTTACACAGGTAAAAAATAATGCTTACTTCCGTATGTGCAGAGTTTTCCCAGAAAATTAAGCTGAATGAAAAGCTTGTAGTATCCATATCCCATATAGAAGTATCATCCTTTCTTCCGGGACGGAAGAAGTATATTATTATTGCTTTATCTTCAGCTTCTAAACGTACTTCTGGAGGACCAAGGTGAGCTGCACAAATCCAAACAATGACTATGTAGCTTTGTTAATTCCAGGCCCAAACATTCACTCCACAAGTAATTAATACGAGCGGTGCATGATAAAACGGAAGTTTTGTGGATCTTACACTCTAGAGGGATAGATGGCAAAAAGCCTCAAATAAATAAGTAAATACGTATGATGCTATGTGTGTCATAAACAAAAATAAGGTAAGATAAAGGAATGGATGTACAATGGTAGCGAATGCTATTTTAGGTAAGGCAGGAAAAAAAACCTCTCAGGGAGAGACATTCAAGATGAGCCTGAAAGGGAGCCATGCGGATATCTAGGGAAAAAGCTGCTCAGGCTGAGGGGTATCAAATGCAAAATCCCTCAGATGGAAATGAGCTTTACATTTTCAAGAGACAATGAGGGAGCTAGGAAGTCTGAGAACAGCTGAAAAAGAGATCAGAGAGGTAGCAAAGAGGCCAGAATCTGTGAAATCAGAGGGCCGAGACTAGCCGAGGATGTCATAATCCTTAGTCAGGTTTTGGGAAGGTAGCCCTGGTTAAGTGTGAAGATGAGCAGGGAGACCAGTAAGCAATCAAGTGAAGCACGAAAAGCGGCTCAGGAAAGGGTGAGAGTGAGGAAGACTCAGATATACTGTGTGGATGGGTCACAGGGACTGTGCCGACAGACAGGATGCAAGGAGGGAGAAAGAGGTGTCAAAGGTGCTTAACCTGAGCACACAGTGATACGATCAACTAAGACGCCAGGGACCGCAGGAGGGCAGCTCTGAGGGGAAATGGAGGGCTCTGTTGGACCATCGTAAGTGTGAGATGCCTTTCAATGTCTAAGGCAAGATGCTGAATGGAGACGGTGATACACGTGGAAAGACAGAAAGGAGGAATGGGGCCACAGACTGGGGAGTCAAGAGCACGCAGATGGTATGGAAAGCCGGTCAGAAGATGACCAGGGCAATGAGTACAGAGGAGGTACAGCTGGGCCCTGCAGCCACCCAACATCTAAGTGTGGGACAGGAGAAACGGGCACTGGAGCGACCAGTGAGCAGACCCTGGAAAGAGCTGGGCCCTGCAGAGCAGGTAAAGAAAGAGCGTCCAGAGAAAGGAGTGATGACCACACTGACTCTCCAGGGCACCGGGCCAGGAGAGGCTGGGAAGTCACCTCCCCTGGGAGGTCACTCATCACTTCGCGAAGAGTGGCTGCAGTGCAGTGAGGAGGAACAGAGCTTGAATGGTGAGGGATGAGGAGGAACACAGGGAAAAAGCAGCACAGGAGGAGAGTACGGCCCATTCTGTGTTGAATTTTGGTACAGAAGAGTGTTTCTTGCAATGTTTGGTTTCAGGACCTCTTTATACTTTTAAAGAAACTATTGAGCCTCCCTGAAAGCTTCTGTATATATGCAGTATGTCTTTTGATAATCAGCATATTAAACCTTAAAACTGATAAATTATAGGGCCGGGGATTTAGCTCAGTGGTTCCAACACCTGCCTTGCAAGTGCAAGGATCCGAGTTCGACTGCCGGTACCAAAGATATAATAAATAAAAAATAAAAAATTATTGAAAACTGATAAACTATAAAATATTTATGAATTCATTACAAACAACCATAAATCCACTACACAGTTACAAACACTTTTTATAGTTTTTTTTTTCCATGGCTGGGGATTTAGCTCAGTGGTTCTGCTGCCTGCCTTGCAAGGACAAGGGCCTGAGTTTGATCCCCCATACCACACACACACAAAATTAAGTATAAGTTTTTTACAAAATGAGAAAACTTAGAAGTGTGATGCTGTTTTACAGCTTTCTCAAAGCTCTTTAATGCCTGGATGAATAAATAAGACACATGGACATTACAGCTGCATTCAATGAATCATTGCATCATGATGACTGACAGCCTCTTGTGGAGAATCCCACCATCCACGAGAGACTGAGAAGGAAAAAGGCACTTAAGTCTCAGAATGATAACTCAGAATAATTTCATAACGATGAACACAGTTTTGTTTCTGTGGATTTCCTGAAAGGGTCTTGGGGACGACACTTTGAGAGCCACTTCTCACAGGAAGGCAGAAACCAGGAGCCACAGCGGGAGGGAAGTTTAGGTTTAAGGAAATCTTTGTTCTTTCTTTTCGAAAGCGAGATTTTACATGATGTAAACGGATGAGCCTGGAAAGAGAGCTCTCTGGTAGTGCTTACCAGTATATAATTCAGTCAGCCGTTTCTTACCTTTCTCAAAAGGTATGAACGTGTCAGTGTGATACCACAAAGAAGTGTGTTTTTCTTCTTCTGCTCTTATACGCAAAGTAATATTTTCATAAAAATTTATATCAAGCGAGGAGAAGTTGCATTTTGAACCTGTGATATGTTGACACCCAGGCAATTTTATCCAATTATCCATCTCAGATCTTTAAAAAAAAACACACACACATACAAATGAATGAATGAGCAAATGCATAAATAAAAGTGTCAACTATGTTTTCTAGTTACTATCGTTGTAAAGCTATCTTGAGAAGCTATTTCCTCTATTTGACTCACTGTCCTGTTAACATCTGAGTGTGTAGATGCTTCTACTCTGTCACGATACCTATAAACCAAGTCACTACTTATGAAATGGAATAACTCAGACATATACAGTTGTTATTTTTTATGCTCAAAGTCCTTTCACTGTACAGTGTCACCTGCTTCAAAGGGAAGGGGGGCAGGTACACTGTGAAGCAGATAAATATGCCAAGCTTTTTTTCTTCTCTTTTTTAAATCAGGCATTTACAAAAGAGAAAGCACACATTAGTTATGTAAGTACAGTTTTCGAATAGCAGATAAGCCACCATATGGTCACCAGCAGACACAGAAAACAGGTGCTGGGGCTCTCCTGATGGTTATGAAGGCAGAGGTGGATTATTTTACCTTGAACCCCTCTCTCCAAATTGTGTGAACTCCTGACGTAAAGCAAGAAGAGAAAAGCTTCTCGTGGCCCTGGAGGATGTGGGAGGTGCTGAGGCAGCCTTAGGATAAGCCTGGATTGGAAATAGGGCCAGATGTAGCCATGGAAGAGGATGTCCCACAGGAAACTGGCTACAGGGCTGTTCTGCCCCTATTGCAGCTGAGCACTCCCCACCCCCAGTTAACAACAACCCAGGAAACAAAACAACTACCAGGTAAGAAAGGTTCCTAAGAAAGTAGCCACTGTATACCTGTAAAAATAAAAAAAGGAATTACATGGTAGTTATTTTACATTAGCTTTTTCTGCTAAGAAAAGCAAAGTATCCTGCTCTACTGACAGGAATATAATAAGCCCCTTGTTAGAAATCTTTCTTTCAGTGTAGATTCAGTGGGCAATCAAGCTGAATTCACAATCGTCTCCATAATGGGTTTTTTACACACAGGGAAAAGCAACAGCCAATTTGATGGATACCTCTTCTCCCTCTTTCTGAAAAGAAACTAACTCAGCCTCCGTGCCAGGGGAGCCAGGCACACGTGGCCCTAGGGTCCCAGGATGTCCTCAGTCCATAGAGGCCCCACAGCAGAGCTGTCGCTCAGTAGAAATGGCTAGTTTTAAATATAGTTTTCTATCTAACTTCATGGGTGGTTGCATTAAATGAATTCCAAGGAAGCAGAGAAATAAATGACCCATAAAGGAAAAGGAGATTTAGTGTCGGCTTTGTACAACATCGTTGTGTGACTCTGGGACGATTTTGCATTTCTGGTGTTATCTTTTTATTGAAAATTTGGGAATTGGATTTGATGATCCCTTTCTACATCCTCCTATGAATAGGTTACCTGTCCTAAGGCAGACTTCAGCTGCAGTGTGGTTTCAGGGTTTCTGATGCCTGCTCCAAAACCAAACCACTCCTCTGCTTCCCGCTCTCCATAATTCTATGATAACTACCAGAAACAAACAAACAAACAAACAAAAAACTTAAAATGTTAACATAAGGAGATGCATTCTTCTACTGGGACTGGTCAATCTGAAAACATCAGGTCTGATTTCAGTGAGTCCTTCACAAACAAACATGATAAAGCAGAGGGGCTGCTTTTGGCAAACAGCAGCAGCATCTCAGTGAACAGGGCAAATGGACTCAAAAGGAAGTACACAACCCTCTGGCACCGAGATGTCCAGTGACTGTCTACACACCTGAGCAGGCTGTCCTTGGGCATCTCAGTCATAAACATCCCACCCCAGACACCCTTAGCCCCTTCAATACTGTATAAGCCTAACTGCTTTCCAGTTAGAGCTGCTAACATCTCTTGTGTTGAACCCTTTCTCTCTCAGATGAAATCTCTCCCTGCCAGCTGCCACTACCTCTCTCCCAGTGTTGGCCCATCCATACGCAGATGTGATCAACTCGGCTTTTCCCAATTAGCTGCTAAAAGCTCTTGATTTTAGTCCCTGACCACTGAAATAAACTGTTCTTTCAAGAAGCCTATTTCTGGCAAATGGATCCTTTATGACAAAATATTTGAGATACTGACACTAGAGTCTACTTCTTCTTCTTTTTTTTGGTTCCAAGGATCGAACTTGGATCCTTTTGCTTGCGAGTCAGGTGGTGGAACCACTGAGCTAAATCCCCAGCCCAAGATTCTACTTCTTAAAAAGGAGCAGGGCTGGGCATGGTGGCACATTCCTGTCATTCAGCTACTTGGGAGACTGAGGCAGGAAGATTGGAAATTTGAGGCTACACTGGGCAACTTAGTGAAAATGCTATCCCAAAGTAAAAACTAAAAAGGGCTGAGGAAAAAATAAAAGTTAAAAAAAGAAGAGGGATGTGTCTTATCACAAGGCACTGAATCCATTCCCCAGTAGTGTAAAACAAACAATTCAAAAGGGGCAGGGGCTGAGAATGTCACTCAGTGGCAGAGAACCCTGGGTTCAATTCCTAGCGCTCCCCTGAACCCCTTGCCCCAAATTAAAACAGCCTTAATATGCTTCCAACCTGCTATCACCCTTTCTGTGTTCTTTGCAGGAGTGGATCCTTTATTAAACTGCTTTTGCATTTAAGGATGCCACTGCAGTGGGAAATACTTTTACATTTTCTTTAAAAAATTCTTTATCATATACAATAAAAAGACCAAAGCAAATATGATCTGAATAAAATATGTATATATAACTAATATGATTCATTTCATAGATACAGTTAATAAAACTTCATACCACCTTCATCCCTCCTACTCACTGAGTTATTCTCATAACACAGAGGAGTGTGAGGCTTAAAAGGCATTTGGTCAGTATCTGATGAATGAAGGAACAGATGCTACACATTACAACATCATCCAGTTTAGATATAAGTTACAAGTACTGAGATTGCCTATGTTCTATGAGCACTGAGATTGTAACAACTTATGTATTCACTGTGTATCATTTTATTTTTACCAGTGGTATATGTCCTACATTTTGAGAAACACCACATTAATAACTACTTGTCTGCAGCCAATATTAAGTACAGTTCAGTTGATTGCTTTGTGACACTCTCCTGATCAGGTAATATACACTTCACTATTCAATACTCAGAACAACCTACTGAGTTACAAACTTTGTCACTGGGCCCCAATATGCCTGGCTGGGTGGAATTTAAGCTTGTTGTTCCAGCTCATTTAAGTTGAAGGACTTCTTTCCACACTCTCTCAAGCATCTTGGTTTGGATGATAAACTATATATGATCATTTCTGTTATTATCTCCACTGAACAAGTAAGGAAACTGTGACACAGAGAAAAATTAGCAGAGGATGGATTTAAATGCATGTGGCCTGGCTCAAGTCCATACTGCACTACACTAATGCTGGCATCTCTCCAGCTTGTAGTGTGGCACGGATCTGCAAGGAATTGTTTATAGAGCTTGCAAAACAAACCAGGATTAAGGAAACACTGAAATAAGGCAACTGATGCTAAAGTCAGAACAGAAGGGCAAAAGACTATGAACTGAGGAATTTAGCTTAAGCAAATTCCTTAAGAATTTATGAAAGAACTTGGATATAGGGCATGGGCTCTCTATTCTTTACTAAAAGGGTATTTTAAAATAAGGGTATGTGAAATAATCCCTGCTTATGTGAAATAAGTCAGTTGTTTAATAAGAAAATTCTGAACTAAGGCAAAAAACAACTTGGTAGCAAAACTTACAATTTAAAGAAAATTCCTATATAAATACACGTATATACATACACAGAGACACACACAATTACAGAACTGTGAGATTAATATCCTAGTTTCAGTAGCAAGTGGAAACAGCAGTGTCAGGGTGGTGCTGAACAGCTGGGAAATGGAGCTGAAGTCCCTTCCACAAGCCTTCCTTCTGCAGCTCCCCGCCTGCCTGTCCTCTGGTAACTATGAAGCAGAAAGTCAGCACTAAGGAAGAGGCACTGAAACTCCACGAACATTCAGTCTGTGGAAGGAGAGTCCAGTCAATATCCTGCTGTTTATAAATTGTATCTAAAACTAAGAAACTGAACATGATGAAGATAATAGGAAAACCTCAGCACAGGAGGCTGGGTAGCCTATTCCCAGGGCATGGACAGGCCATTCAGGAAATGGTGCATAGTCTCCAGGTATGCTCTGGTACAGATGCTAATACATATTTCAGTGACTCCAGAACACCCAGGGCAGAGGAGTATGGGAATGGCTGTGGATCAGAAAAGATATCTATCACCTTCATTCCCAAATTTCTTTTGCTTCAAAGATGAATTTGACTAAGTCACTGTAGAAATGAAGTTACAAAGACTCTGTAAAACCAACAACATTTCTAATAGACAAAATAAAAATTTTCCAAACCTGTCAAGAGATTGGGTGATAGATAAAATTATAAAACCAGCCAGATCATTCAGCAAATCTTTAATAGTCACCTACGTTATATAATCTGCTGAAAAAGTCACATTCCTGATAGACTCCTGGCTCCCATTCCACTTCAGGGTAAAGTCGTCATCTATGATGGAGACCTCTACTTTCTGAGGAGGTTTTAGACTTTTTTCATCTATAAAGGCAACAAGAAACAAAATATTTATATATACATTGTATGATATTTAAAAAAAGTTTTTCTTTCCTTTACATCCATGATTAAAGAGTGAATGCATTTAAATATAACAAAGTATGAAATGTAAACAAAACATACAGTGAATGTAAATTAAAAAAAATTATTAGAGTAAAAGACACAATGCCATTAATCACCCTCAAATATCCCCCCCGCCATGTCAGACACATCAAACCCATCATTCTTGCCACTTCCTGGAGCAGCTCTGGAAGTCCTCTTTCATGAGTATCTTGTAGTTACACTGTCATGGTAGCCTCAATGTCCTAAATTGATTGAAAACATTTACCTTTCATGGTCATTTTGACTCTGGGGAAGAGCCAAAAGTTGCATAGGGCTTGATCTGGTCAATAAGGTAGATAGAGACACACAGTAATGGTTTTGACAGAAATTGCTGTAAACATTTGACAATTGAAGGAAAGTCAAAAGATTCTGTGAATGTTCGGCTAAAAAAATGTATTATAGTAAAAGACACATTGCCATTAACTCTCCTCAAAATGCTCCCCCTCATTTTGAACATACTTATTCTATGATTCTTGGCAATGTGCTCTTTACTGTACTTGTACAAGTTAAATTTTCAAAATTCAAACATTTACTGTATTAATCGATCACCCCTCGTATATAGTAGTCCCTCTTTATCTGTTAGGGATCCACCCCAAGACCCGGGAGTAGACGCCTGAAACTGCAGATACAACTGAACCTTAAACAGACTATTTTTTTCATAGTGTATGTCTTTCATATCCATACATGCCGTGACCTGCAGTAGGGTCCTAAACCGGGGAGAGAGGTGGGAGATGAAGAAAAGATGATGAAGACCAAGATTACTCTTGATAGCTGGGACCAAGTGGAACCACAGCCTGTCTGGAGCTAATGGCCACCTGGAGCACCATGCATTCTTTATTTATAGTGGCAGGCACACAGGAAGAGAAGGCAGGGCAAACAGTGCTAATTGGCCTATGTGGCCTAGGTAGAATGTAGCATGATTATTTCATGATGGGGCATGCACAGGAAGGGAACAGAGAAGGATACATACTGTAACTGTCTCCCAGGACTGTGCCATCAAGGATCTACACTATGCTCTAAGCTGTGGAGGATAAAGGGAGCAGAAAAGGGCCATCTTCAGGCTCAGCCCACAGCACATACACATAAACCTATGATAAGGTTTAATTTATAAATTAGGCACAGTAACAGATCAATGACATAAACAAAAGTAGGACAATGATAATATACTGTAATAAAAGTTTGCACTTTTGGGGCTATTATCAAATTTAGAAAGGGTTACTTGAACAAAAGCATGGTGATAAGAGTGCAACAGTCTTCCACAGGTACTTCGGACAAAGGGAGGATTCTGAAGCTGGGCATGGCTGAGAGTTCGTCACCATACTCTAAATCCTGTGTGGACTTAGAATTTTCCATTTAATATTTTTAGACTGTAGATGACTACAGCTAATTCAAACTGTGGACAAGGGGGACCTGCTATATTAAAAAATCTAAAAAGCTCACACAGGTCATCTGCTAATTCTATTTTGGTATTTTGCCATCCATAAAGAGCACTGTCTTTTAACTGAAAAAAAAAAAAAACCTGTATAAAAATAGAACTTTTTTTGGTCTCAGAGTGATAAAGATGTAAAGGATACAAGTTTCAACTATTTTAACAGCTTCAATTTGCTCTCACATTTTGTTCAGAGATAGATGTAAGGAAAAAATATGGTGTGCTTTTAAATAAAAAAAATTACAGTAAAAGATACATTATCATTCATTTCCCTCAAAATACTTTTCCTGGCTTCAAAAACAGTTATCATTCTTGTCACTTTCTGAAGTGATTCTGGAAGTCCTCTCTCATGAGTGTTTTTAGTTGTGCTGCCGTGGCTGCCTGGATGTCCTGCACTCCTTCAAAACACTTACAGCAATTTCTGTCAAATAAAATTACTGTTATGTCCTCACCTACCATTTTACACCAGATCTGGCACTATGTGACTTCTGGCTCTCAAAGTCAAAATGACCATGAAAGGTAAATGTTTTGAATAGATTCGGACATTGAGGCAGCCACAACAGGCAACTAAAAGATTCATGAGGACTTATAAAACTGCTTCAGAAGGTGGCAAGAATGATGGGATAAATGTGCCTGAAGCAAAGGGGAGTATTTCAAAGGAGACTAATGGTAATGTGTCTTCATTACAAAACCACGGTATTTTTTTTTTTTTAAATCACAACGCATAGGGCTTTGGATACTCAGAGAACTAAACATGTGATTTCAAAGTTGGTGGCCTTTCTCAGGAAGCCACATAACACTGATGGACAGAGGTATGAATATATGAGCTGAGCCCTCAGGAACCAAAGGAGGTCTCTACACCAATACATCAAAACTGTGTTCCTGTTTGTTCCTTGGGACTTCTACTGATAGACTTACTTTATTTCTCACTACTTCTAACATAAATCTTCTACCAGCTGGATTACCTCTTCTCAGTTTTCCTTTCTGGCCCCTCCCATCTGCAGTATACTTCTGTCTCTGACAACACAAGTCATCCAAGGTCCAGCTCCAATCCAACCCCTTACGGAAAACCTTCCCTGAGTACCTTCCCTGAGCTCATGTTGCTCTGGCTGGTCTTACATGCTGAACCTTCCGATACGCACCACTCAGTCCCACACTTCAGTAGGTGTTCTCGGCTTCAAATACTTGTTGAGGGCAAATGTATTCCTTTTCATTTTTTGAAAGTGTGGCAAATTACACACAATGTAAGAATTAACTGTTGTAACCATTAAGCATAAAGTTCGCTGGTATTGGCATGATATTCTGGTGCGAGAAACTGAATGTGGAAATAAGGACCGAGATGTATAATGGATGTTGGGAGATGGGGAGAAAAGTGTTCAAATGGGAAGGGGAATAAGAGAGGAGGGAGGAAGAAAGGAAGGGACAAGAAAAAAAGTGAAAATAGAAGAAAAAAACGGAAACAAAGCTTTTGAACATGATTTAGCTATTGCAAATAAAGCTGCGATGAAGAAGGATATAGAAATATCTCTGTGAGAACATTTTCAATTTTTTTTTAAATGAAAAAGTGGAGTGGCTGGATTATATAGTAGTAGGAGGTCAGGAGGAACTCCTGTACTGTTTTCTGTGGCAGCTGTACAATTTTAGATTTTCAATACTGCACAAGGGTTCCAATTTCTCCACATCCTCACCAACATTTATTTTCTTTTAACAGTCATCTTAATAGAGGTCAGGCATTACCTCTCTGTGGTTTCAATTGGTAGTTTCCTAATGATTAGCAATGTTGAGTATATTTTCATGTGTTTACTAGATCATCTGTGTAACTTCTTAGGAGAAATAAATATTAAAGTCCTTTGGTTATTTTTGAACTGGGGTGTTTTGTTGTCAGTGAGTTTGGAAATTCTCTATTTGTTTAATTCTTCAACAAATATGGTTTGCAAATATTTTCTCCCATTTTGTGAAATGTATTTTTACTATGTTGATAGTGCCCTCTATTTGCTTAATCGTCTATCTAAGGTATATGTAATCTACTGCCCATGGACCATTTGTCCTTTTTATAAGTGTTACAATAAAAATATAAGAAAAAGAAGTTTGGCAACTTATATACATTGACTATATTGTACATTTTACTATGCAAATACCATTCTCCTTTATTCAGTTAGGCTTAGGTAAGCTAAAAATTTAGACATTAGTTTGTCAACTAGACTAGTTGCACTATACATTTGAAAAAGGGAGTACTGAAGTCTCCAACCAGTATTATAGAACTATTTTCCTTTTAATTTTATGAGTTTTGGCTTCAGATATTTTGATGGTTTTAGATACATAAATCTCTATAATTATCTTTTTGTATTGAACCTTTTCTTAATCTATAATGTCCTTGTTTCTCTTATATATAACCTTGATTGTATGAAGTAAGCATTTATAAAGAAACTATACTCCAGCAGAACTCTTAAAACAAGTATCAGAAATGGATTCCTTCCTTCCAAAAGGAGATATAGCACCATCTGCCTGTATAAGGCACTGGGAGGCCTGAGATAAGTCCACTGAAGGGCTGTGAAAAACAAGTCATTACAGGTGGTCTGATGTATTTGACTTAAGTCTCATGACAAAGAGGTGAAAGAAATTCCTGACCTGACTAATCTTGCTAAGAATGCAGTGGATAATTCAATCCAATGGTCAGAGACTCCAAGCTTTATCTTAATGTGCCTATGTAGAATCTCACCAGTGTATTTACTGAATTGTTGATTTATGACTTTCTTTGTTCTGTGGCTATAAAAGCTCACATATCCCCTTCCATGGTGGACTGCATCATTAAGGGTAATGTGAATCCATATTTCCAAGCCATGGTCACTCGGATTTGGCTGGGGATAAGCTATTTTCTTATTTTCCTTTAAAACAGAGTTATTTTGCATGGACAGCTGGTTTAAAGTCTGTTTTGTCTGATATTAGTATAGCTTTCTCTGCTTATCTAAGGTCATCCTATTGGGGTTGGGCTTTTCGTTAAGACTCAAGGTCCAAAAGAGTTATGTCAGTTACAATTATACCAGAGTAAACTTGTCCAGGTGTAGTATTAAATTTTTTCTTTTAAATGTAAGGATACTAAGATAGATAAGCTAGGTAGAAATATTATAGGCAGTCAGATAAGGTTAGGTCCTCAAGAAAGTTAGGACAAAGATGAAACACACCACAGCTGTCACTGAAGACACACAGGCTGAAAACCAGGCCTCAAGATAAAGACAAGATGACCAGTCCAATATACTTCATCAAAGAACAAACACTGGATCTACTGAAGTCTAGATAGACACCAACCACCCTGGTGGGTGACCAGAGAACTCCCGACTTACCACTAAGAGAATCTTTGTTTTTTCCATCCATGCTTGCTATGTGACTTCTTTCCCAACTGGACCACCATTACCTACATGATTGGACTTGTAACCTTATTGGATATTCATGGCTGTAGCCCCTGTTGTACCCACATGGGTTTCACCCTATAAAACTCCTATGTAAAGTGGGTTCCCCTGGCTACACACTGGGTACCCCTCCTTCCCCTCAGGAGCTTTCCTATCAATAAAGATCTTCCTACTCTTAACCTCCCTTGCTCCTAGGATTTTCTTCAATTTCTAGAGAACAAGAACTTGGGGTATCACAGTTAACAGGTTGGGAGATATATTTCATATCTCTGGTATTTTTCTTGTTATCATCAGTTTTCCCCATAATCAAGGCAGATTGGCAAGTTTCTCAAGGGCAGAGTCTGTGTAGCTTCCTACTTAATCTGCCGTTTTCAGAGTACTCAGCATAAGGCCGGGCTCACAGGAATTTTTTGTTTTGCAGTGATGGGGATCAAACCCAGGGCCTCCCTCACAGTAGGCAAGTATATTACTATGGATGTACATTCCCAGACCAGAACTTCTTAAGTGTCACAAAATACTGGCTCTTCATTTTTTAATTTATAATTTTTAAGGACAGCTTTCATACTTTTTTTCTGGTTCCACTGTATTTCTAGCTTTTACTTCTGCTTCAGGGCAATCATATTATTTCCTTAGAGACCACAAAGGTCTTTACAGAACTTTCTTTATTGGGATGTCTTTCAGTATGATATTATTGTATGGAATCAAAGGAGAAGTTTTCTGAAAAAATAATTTTCCTTTTAAACGTAAGGAAGTACCATTGGATCCTCCCTTCCTCCACTTTTCAGTTTCACACTCAGATTCTCTGAAACTTAATCGCTGAACAGAATATACTTCCATATATCGTATTTTCTGTTGTTTTTGAGGCAGGGTCTTGCTATATAGTTCAGGCTAGGCTTGAATTCACTATATAGCCCAGGCTGACCTGGCAAGCATGGCGATCCCCCTGCCTCAGCTTGCTGAGTGGTAGGATTACAGGTGTGCACCTTCATGCCTGGTCCCTTATCTTTTAAAACTGATTCTCATTCTACTTGCTTGAGTTTATAGATTCTGTGCAGCCAAAGTGTATACAGGGGTCAACAAAAGATTGAACAGCACTCACTGGTAGTATTTACAGTATGCTATTCAGAATAGTTTATTCTAGTACTTTTGGGCCATGAGAGAGGAGGAAGAAACCTGATAGAGTAGAACTAGGGATATCCTCAGGCATGCAGTCCTCCTGTTGCTAAGAGAAGAAGGCTCTATTGGCACCTGGAAGACCCACAGATAACTGTTGGGGAAGGAGAGCATGAACGGCCGAAGCGCTGACCCTGAGTCCTGGAATGCTGTTCTCACTGGGGCACAGGTGTCCCGAAGGCAACGTGCTGGAGCCACGTCCTTCGACCCGCAAACAATCCCCCAATCTTTCCTTTGCTCCTGTTTCCAGTTTACACTCCCTTTTAGTCATAAACTGATGCTGTTTTATCTAGATGTTAGGTCTTTAGTTTGAACAATGTGTATCTGCTCATGACTGCTGTTAATCACTGCTCGTAACTGCTGTTAATCATCAAACTGCTGTGATCATGCTTTTGTGTGTGGCCTTGAAACTACTATAAAGACCCTGGGTGAGAAATAAACTTTGCCATTAGCCATCAGCTTTTGGTCATTCATTGTGTCCGCAGTCGTCTCCCCAAGCCCCCTCCTCTTGAAGGAGACCCCAACAAATAACTGATTAATAAATAGGGACATGGAAATAACAGATATTAAACAAGATCTTAGTTTTCACAGATTTTTCTGTTTGTATTTTAGCAATCTCCTATTAATAATACCTTATTTTACCTTCTTAACATATAAAATGCATAACGGGGGACTTACTGACACCCTTAACCTTCAACCTGTCACATTCATCTTGATGTAGAGCTTACTATGTGTGACGTAAACACAAGCATGCGCATCTATATGAATATAAATAAAAATTGCTCCCATATTTTGGGCAACTTTCTTGGTTCCCAGAAGTGTACTTGTTAGGTTGAAAAGTATGAATATTATGACTTCTGAAAGAGAACAACATAACAATCTCGTTTAGGTTAGCATGCCATTTGGTTTTCAACCTTATTATTCCACTGGGGAAATAGAACATTATTTAATTGAAAAATAACTGATAAGTAGACCCTTAACATAGAGGTAGATCATCAAAATCTTACATTGTTTGGTCTTAAGGAAACAAGTGCAGTCTGGTTAAGTGATAAGGCTCTCAGGCCACACTTTCAGGGTACGACTTCCCACTCAGCCACTGGCTGGCTATATGGCCTTGGCCAAGTTATTCAATCTCAGTGCTTCAGTTTCCTCATCTGTAAAATGAGAATAATGTCTACAGTTCTGAAAGTAAAATATTTAATTACATATTGGCATATAGTTAAGAACTTCATAATGCTGTCTATAAATTACATTTCAGAAGTTCTCTAGTTTAAAACTGATTTCTTAATTCTCCTAGAATGTCAATTTTACACGAAAATTCTGCGGGTAATTCTTTTCACATTGAAGCAAAAATGAGTTTAATGAAAAATTTTCATGAATAAAAGACTTCAAAGAAATCACCACAAGTTGTACCAAGACCCTGGCACCCATATCATAGGCATTGTACTATTAGTGGAGAGGCTGAGAAGTAGGTATCATGAACCATAGAGGAGCATGGCTTTCTGGGCAACAGTTAAGTACTTTGAAGGCACCAGCATCCGCTACCACTGACCTCCTGAATTCCTGTGCCTGGATGCTTCCCACTGCTTCTCTTTCGGTACCCTAGGTCACTACAAAATTACCTCTCCGGTCAACCTCAGAGAAGTAACCACTCCCCTGCTGCACGGCAGCTGAGAATTACGAATAGCAACAAACTAGCTTGGTGGCTTCCTGTCTTATTTTTATTATTCTTTTTTATTAGTGTATACAATCCTGAGGGCACAGCAAATTTCTGCAGCACTGATTTCACGCCCCCGTGGGGCAGCAGCGCAACTGTTTACACATTGAGGAAAATTACCGCAGGCCTTGTTTACCATCAATCTGGGCAGCCGAGCCGCGGATTTTTCGGAAAGGGGCAAACTCGCCTCAAGGTTGCTGGGGCGTGGCCCCAGGGTTCCCGGCGGGCAGGGCGCCCCCAGTCCAGGCGGAGGTACCCAGGATCCCATGCGCGTGATGTGGAAGGATCTTCCTTCTCCAAGTTTGATTTTCAAGTCCGCAGAGGTTTCCAGCTGCGGCTACGGTCCCCAAACCAGGCGGCACAGAAGACTCGAGGTTTCCCAGAGACGCGACAGTCCCCTCCTCTCCGCCATCCCGCTTCCAAAGCATCTCTGGGCGGGGGGAGCCCTGGAGCCCGAACCCCGCGTCTCTCACCTGAGGCTGCGGGCGACGGCCACGACGCCCCGGCCACCAGCACCAGCGCCGTGGGTCCCAGTAAGGCG